GCACCCACATGGGAGACCAGGAGGAAGCACCTGGCTCCTGGCTTCAGATCAGCACAGCGCCGGCCGTAGCAACCACTTGGGGAGTGAACCAACAAAAGAAAGACCTTTCTCTCTGTCTTTCTCACTGTCTGTAACTCTGCCTGTCAAATAAACAAAAAAATAAAATCTTTAAAAAAAAAGAAAAAAACAATTGAACTATTAGATATAAAATATGAAATACAATTTTTTGATATAATTTAATGAAACAAAAAGATGCTTAAACTTAGGAATAAAGAACATGCAAATAAAGAAAAATATAGAATCCCTCAGATAGTAAGACCTAAATAACCTTAAAAATTGAAGAACAGATATTAAATACATATTTATTGAATTAATAAATGAATACAAAGAAGTGTCTCCTGGAGCCAGTACTGTGGCATAGCGTGTAAAGCTGTGGCCTGCAGCACCTAGCTGCTCCACTTCCGATCTAGCTCCCTGCTATTGTGCCTGGGAAGCAGCAGAAGATGGTTCAAGCCCTTAGACCCATGCGTCCAAGAAGATCCAGAAGAAGCTCCTGGCTCCTGACTTCAGCCTGTCTCAGTCCTGGCCATTGCAGCCATTTGGGGAGTGAACCAGTGGATAGAAGACCTCTCTCTCTCTGTCTCTGTCTCTCTCTCTGTCTCTGTCTCTCTCTCTCTCTAACTCTACCTTTCAAAAAAATAAAATAAATATTTTTTTAAAAAAAGAAGTGTTTCCCTGAGCACTGAAAAATTAACCAAGGTGACAGAGGACATGCAAGAATCTAGCTGTGGCCACAAATCACATGCAGGGACATGTATATCACCCAAATTAGTGTCATGCCTTGAAAGGTAAAGTCACCTTAATCTTGTTTATATCTAGCCTGGGCTATATAGGATGTCCAGGCAGTAAAGACTTCCCAAACTCTACCAACATCAGAGAGTAGCAGGAAGTCAAGACTAAATAAGACAATAGGACCACACATCATATTTTCAACTATGATGCAATGTGGAGAAAATTCTGTGTGATAGGAAGCATTTCAGCTGCTGATCTTTACCTGCTAAAATGGAAGAAACCTTACACTGGATGACAATATTGAAGTTAAGTTGCTATTAATCTGAACTAGATTGTCTTAAAATGACATATTAATTATAAAACCAATACAGTGTCTAAGAAAATAACTAAACATAAAATAGAATAAAAGAGACAAGAGAATTGTAATGACCTACTACAAAATATTCATGGGGCTGACGCTGTGGCATAGCAGGTAAAGCCACCGCCTGCAGTGCCAGCATGCCCTATGGGTGATGGATCAAACCCCATCCTGCAGCGCCGGCATCCCATATGGGTGCCAGTTCAAGTCCCAGCTGCTCGACTTCCAATCCAGCTCCCTGCTAATGCATGGGAAAGCAGTGGAGGATGGCCCAAGTGCTTGTTCCTTGCACCCACATGGGAGACCTGGAAGAAGCTCCTGGTTCCTGGCTTCGGATCGGTGCAGCTCCAGCCATTGCGGCCATTTGGGGAGTGAACCAGGGGATGGAAGACCCCTCCGTCCCTTCCTCTCTCTCTCTCTCTCTCTCTCTCTCTCTGCCTCTGCCTCTGCCTCTCTGTAACTCTGCCTTTCAAATAAATAAACAAATCTTAAAAAAAGAAAAAAGTCATCATAAAATGGAAAAGAATAAAAAAGTTAGAAAGAAACTCAACTTTGTAAGACATAAGTAGGGCATCCAACACTTACTCTATTGATTTCCCAGAAGAAAAAAAAAGGCCAGAACAAATTAGAATAGAAAGATTATTCAAAGTAATGATATAGGAAAATTTCCTGATATCCAATGAGTTATTTTTAGTCATAGTTTGAAGGATACATCATACCAGGACAAATAGACAATAAGACTCTCTTAGGGGCTGGTACTGTGGCATAGTGGGTAAAACCACCACCTGTGGCACCAGCATCCCATAGGGGCACCGGTTCTTGCCTCATCCCCTTCACTTCTGATCCAGCTCTCTGCTATGGCCTGGGAAAGCAGTGGGAGATGGTCCAAGTCCTTGGGTTCCTGCACCCACATGGGAGACCCAGAAGAAGCTCCTGGCTCGTGGCTTCGATTGGCCCAGCTCTGGCCGTTGCGGCCATTTGGGGAGTGAACCAGCAGGTGGAAGACCTCTCTCTCTCTCTCTCTGACTCCTTCTCTCTCTGTGTAACTCTGACTTTCAAATAAATAAATAAATCTTTTAAAACAACAGACAATAAGACTCTCCTAGTAAAAATCATGGATTTCAGATACAAAGATCTCTTTGGAGACTCAAGAAAAACAACTAAAAATAAAAAGGGACCGTCACGCAGATCTTAAACTGTTATGCAGAAGACAAAGCAACATGCAGGAAAGGGAATGTGGCCAATGTTGTTCAGTTAAAAAGACAACCATTTAGAAGTATACATGAAATCAGGGCATGAGTCCTTCAAAAAAGAAGAGTATTGGAGAATTAATTTAGCAAACCAAGAATTATTGAATAAATAGCAGCAAAAGCACTAGTCGGTACTGAGTCTATTTTTTTTTTAATTTGACAGATAGAGTTACAGACAGTGAGAGGGAGAAACAGAGAGAAAGGTCTTCCTTCACTTGGTTCACTCCCCAAATGGCTGCCATGGCCAGCGCTGCGCCGATCCGAAGCCAGGAGCCAGGTGCCTCCTCCTGGTCTCCCATGCGGGTGCAGGGCCCAAGCACTTGGGCCATCCTCCACTGCACTCCCAGGCCACAGCAGAGAGCTGGACTGGAAAAGGGGCAACCGGGACAGAACTGGCACCCGTATGGGATGCCAGCGCCGCAGGCAGAGGATTAACCAAGTGAGCCATGGCGCCGGCCCCAGTACTGAATCTATTTAAACAGAAGATTAAAATGAATTACCTGTGGATATTATGGCATTAAAACACAATATAAATCTACCAACATGGCAATATATAACAGATAAGGTAAATTTTCAAAGTATATTGATATTGAAATAATGAAATGCTATTAAATATAAAATGGTACAGCCACTTTGGAAGTCAGTTTAACAGTTTCTTACAAAGCCAAGCGTAATCTGACTACATGATCTAGCAATCATGTTCCAAGCCACTTACTGAACTAATGTGGAAACTTATTCTCCCACAAAAGCCTGCACATGAACTTTTTATACAAGTTTATTATATTTGCAAAAAAAAAAAAAAACTGGAAGCAATACCTGAATGGATAAACAAACTTGATAGATCAATAAGATGGAATATTTTTCAGCAATAAAAAGAAATGAGTTATAAAGCCAGGAAAAGATATGGATAAAATTAAACGCATGCTACTAAGTGAAATAAGTCAGTCTGGAGAAGGCTATACACTACATGATTTCAGCTATGTGACACTCTGGAAAGGTAAAACTACAAAATGAATGAAGAGATCCACAGTTGTTGGGGATTCAGAGGGAAGGGGGTGAGGGTTGAATAGATGAAACATAGTTTTTTTTTTAGGGCAGTGAGATTATTCAGTATGAATTTTATGGTACATACATGACACTACTCATTTGTTAAAACCCATAATTTATTATTTTATTTTGTTTACTTTTTATTTACATAAAGGAAATAAATTTCATGTATTTAATATATACCATTTTAAGAGCATAAGGATACTTGCTACCCTACCTTCATTCACTCCCACCCTCCCATGTCCTTCTTTACTTTTAATTTTTATAATGACATGCTTTGAATTTACTTTATCATCACAAACTTAAATCCTCCACTAAATAAAGAATTCAACAAGTAGTAAGTAGAAAAACCACAGTTCCTCAAGAGTATAGACAAGGGCTATAAACAATAATCAAATTTCAAAATGTCAATTTTGCTCATATATTATTACATTTTCTGGTACTCTGTATATTAATTACCACACTTCAGGGAAAACATACATTTATCTTTTGGGGACTGGCTTATTTCACTAAGCATAATGGTCTCCAGTTGCATCCATTTTGTTGCAAAAGACAGCATTATATTATTTTTTACAGAATTGATGTATACTAAAAAAATCATTTAAGAGGTCAGAGGAATGTCAAAATGGGATGAAGATTGTCACAAACAATATGACTTATATATGACAATATGCACTACAAATATATGAAACAAGCCTACCGAAGTGGGTGGGGAAAAACAGGGCTGACTGTAGTAACTTTGGAAATGAGTAAGATGAAAGACAAAAGAAACTGTACATAAACACAGTGGTCTAGGTAATGAAGTTTCCTATAAAGGTACAAGTTCATAATTCTGATACCACTATATGTATATATTTGAACAATTAAATAGATTTCTCATTGGGAGAGATTTCTCATTGTTGAAGTTGTGGGTGGGGTGGGGAAGGTCACAAATAAGCAAAGGGAAAAGGCAAGAAGGATCCGTGTGGTAATGGGATATCATTGGATACACTGAAAGGAATTCATGTTTAATCTTTATAGATACAGATGGATATATATACAAATACTTATATGTATGTGTATATGCAAGAATGAGTATACATAGCTATACAAGGGTACATCAAAGTGCAGGCTCCTTCCCTATCTCTCTGTCTCAAATAAATAAATAAATCTTCCCAAAAAATGAGAAAAGTGCAGGTCTACATAGAGAAAGACTGGTGCACCCTATAATTGATTACAAGTGATAGTAAACACTGATAGTCTGGTGTTCACCTCAGTTATAGAGTTTTATACCCTTTAAGAAATGAGCAGCAATGGGGCTGGCGCTTTGGCGTAGCAGGTAAAGCCACCACCTGCGGTATCAGCATCCCATATGGGCACCAGTTAGAGTCCCAGCTGCTCCATTTCTGATCCAGCTCTCTGCTATGTCCTGGGAAAGCAGTGGAGAATGTTCCAAGTGCTTGAGTCCTTGCACCCACGTGGAGACCTGGAGGAAGTGCCTGGCTCTTAACCGGCCATTGCAGCCAATTGGGGAGTGTACCAGCAGATGGAAGACTCTCTCTCTCTGTCTCTCTCTCTTCCTCTCCTTCTCTCTCTGTGTAACTCTGAGTTTCAAATAAATAAATCTTTAAAAAAATGAGCAGTGTAAATGTTAGTTATAGCTATGTAGTCTGTATATGAGCTTAACTCTACATTATATGAGGGAAGTTCAAAAAGTTTGTTGGGGGTGGGGAGACAGAGTTGTGGAGCAGTGGGTTAAGCCACCACCTGCAATACTCCTTGGATGCCTGGTCGGAACTTGGCTGCTTGGGCAATGGCAATGTTAGTCATAGGTATGTAGTCTGTCTATGAGCTTAACTCTACTTTATATGAGGGAACTTCAATAAGTTCCTGGTGGGGGGAGGGGCAGAGTCGTGGAGCAGTGGATTAAGCCGCCATCTGCATTACCATATGGGTGCCAGGTCGGAACCTGGCTGCTCCACTTTTTTTTTTTTTTGACAGGCAGAGTGGACAGTGAGAGAGAGAGAGAGAGACATAGAGAAAGGTCTTCCTTTGCCATTGGTTCACCCTCCAATGGCCACCGCAGCCGGTGCACTGCGGCCGGCGCATTGCGCGCTGATCCGAAGGCAGGAGCCAGGTGCTTTTCCTGGTCTCCCATGCGGGTGCAGGGCCCAAGGACTTGGGCCATCCTCCACTGCACTCCCTGGCCACAGCAGAGAGCTGGCCTGGAAGAGGGGCAACCGGGACAAGAACCCGGTGTGCCGGCGCCGCTAGGCAGAGGATTAGCCTAGTGAGCCACGGTGCCGGCCACTGCTCCACTTCTGATCCGGATCCTTACAATTGCACCTGGGAAAGCAGTGGGAGATGGCCCAAGTCCTTGGGTCCCAGCACCTACATGGGAGACCTGAAAGAAGCTCCTGGCTCCTGGCTCCTGGCTTCAGCCTGGCCCTACACCAGCCATTGTGGCCACTGGGGAAGTGAACCAGCAGATGAAGATCTCTGTGTGTGTGTATCTCCCTCTCTCTCTGTAACTCTACCTTTCAAACGAAATAATTAAATCTTAAAAGAAGGAGGAGTGGAGTCTTAAGTGCTAGGCCAAGTACTAACCCCTATTTTCAGCCTTTTAAGCACTGTAGTCCTACTCTTTTTTTCTCATGAAATTACAAAACATACACTTAGGATTATGAATGTATTTAAAACTTCTTGCTTCCTATTAACCTTCTCCACACATTACATTTAAAGCCAAACAATCCTATTCATGGTTCAATTTAAACATTCATGGTGAAATTTAAAACAAACAACAACAAGCTAGGATGTCATCTTCCAGCATTTGGCAATATCTCTTAGTGGAATTTGTGAAATCACACTGTTCTACTAATATACCATTGAATAAAATTTGATCCATCCCTCAACTTCTCTACGTGTAGCACTCTAACCTGTGAAGAAACTCCAGTCAGTTTACTTCTAGCTGAGGGTCTGAGTACTCTAAAGCCCAGTTAAACACAACAATGCTTTAAAATAAGGTGCATCCACCATTTGAAGAAAAAAATCTGTTTAATAACACTCATGTTTAATACTTGACCACATTAGTAGAAATTAGTAAGTCAACAGAGTGGTATTCAATGAGGAAAAGTTTCCTTTTTCGCATGAAAAATCTGAAATTTAGAAAGAGCACTAATTAGCAAGTCATCATTAACAACACAAACTATTGCATTAAGAATCAATAACACAGAGAAAGGCAAAAAATGCATTCCGCAGACACATAAAGTGAAGCTTCCCATATGCACCCATATTTCTATCTTTAAAAGACTGGATATTAAGATATTTTATCCTTGGCCGACGCCGTGGTTCACTTGGCTAATCCTCTGCCTACAGCGCCAGATTTTGTCCCAGTTGCTCCTCTTCCAGTCCAGCTCTCTGCTGTGGCCCGGGAGGGCAGAGGAGGATGGCCCAAGTGCTTGGGCCCTGCACCCGCATGGGAGAACAGGAGGAAGTACCCGGCTCCTGGCTTCAGATCGGTGTAGCACCGGCGTAGCACAGGCCGTAGCGGCCATTAGGGGAGTGAACCAACAGAAGGAAGATCTTCCTCTCTGTCTCTCTCTCACTGAACTCTCTCTCTGTCTCTCTCTCCCACTGTCTAACTCTGCCTGGCCAAAAAAAAAAAAAAAAGATATTTTATCCAAGTCACAATTCTGCCTTAAAGCCCACAAACTCATAAAACTCCTCCCATCTTCTGACATTCCATAACATTATCTGTACAACTCAATTCACAATCATATAAAATCACCTCTCAGGTTATGTTTTTGGTAATGATCCTGTCTTCCCCAACTGGAGTGCAAGCTCTGAGAGAAGGCCTCATATTTTATCACTATATTTGATCAGAGCCTGTGGCTCACTGGTAATATGTGCAGCTCCATGACCATTTTAAGTCATTCTTTCGTTTCTGTCAATCCTGATTTTTCCATGACTCTGTCCTTATTCTGTTCTCTAGTCTAGAAGTCATTCTATAGTATTATTCTTCTGTTTTGATGAAGTAAATCCCCTCTAAAATGTAGCCTGTAATTTTTTTAATTACTGTGTTTGCTGAAGACATAATCATAATCTAAACAGTGTCAATTCTGCACCCACAGTGAACAGGCCAAAATTATAAGATGTAGGCCCATCAGAACAACATTCTCTCATTACCTACTGTCTCAGAGTAAACTTCAGGTTATACAACTTACCATTTTCAGTACAGATTTTTGCTTATACAAAACCAAACAGGTTGTTAACAAAATACAAAGTGACACAACAGAAAATGGTATCACAAAAAATGACAAAGTTTCTTTCCATGTTTCACCTAGGATTAAAAATCACAAAAAAGGGAAGCATTAGAAATTTTTTAACTCTTTATGAAACTAAATTATTTTATAAACGTCTAGTAAATGGTAAATAACTGAGTTTAACTTGGCAATCCCTAACATATTTATCAGTAAATAGGAAAGCACAGTTGTGCTTGAGGTTAACATTGTTTTCATTTGTGCATGTTTTGTATAGTATGACTACACTACTGAACTTGTGGCACCTCTTAATTTCACTACAAAAAAAATGACCCCTCAAAGCATAGTTCTTATTTCCTAATATGAATTTGTTTAAAATTTGACCTTGTAAATTTTTCCTTAAAAATGGTATATTAGCCATGTGATTAAACATGTGCTATATATCTCCTAACTCTCAATAAGCCTTATGTTTACTTATATTATGCTTAAGTGAACATGAGTTGGTCTTCAATGAAAATTCCCGTGTGAGTAATGGAATTGGTCTTTAAAGGTCACTTTTAAAAAAATAAAGATTCATTTACTTGAAAGGTCAAGTGACAACTAGGACTGAGCCAGTAAAAAGCCAGGAGCCAGGAACTCCATCCTGGACTCCCACATAGTCTGTAGGAATTTAAGTACTTGGACCATCCAGTTAGATTAGCAGGAAGCTGGATTGGAAATGGGATGCAAACTAGCACTCCAATATGGGATGTAGGCTTCTGAAGCAGCAGCTTAACACACTGCACACAGCACCAGCCCCTAAGGTCACCTTTTTTTAAGATTCATTTATTTACCTGAAAGGCAGAAATATAGAGGGAAAAGGAGAGAGAGAAAGAGATCTTCTATCAGCTGATCCATTCCCCAAATGGCCACAACAGCCAGGGCTGGGCCAAGCTGAAGCCAGGAGCCAGGAGCTTCCTTCAGGCCATCTTCTACTGCTTTCCCAGGCCATTAGCATGGAGCTGGATTGGGAGTGGAGCAGCCCGGATTCGAACCGGCACCTATATGGGATGCCAGCAGTGCAGGTGCCCAGTCCCCAACACAACAGCACTGGCCCCTAAAGTCACCTATTTAAAAGGTAGCTCACATTTTAGAAACTAAAGGGAAGAAATACATTTTTCTTTTCTTTTTTATTTTGTTCTGTTATTGTAGGGATGAAGTTGTAATCATTCTTCTGTAAAGCAAGGAATCACCAATCACTAGTCAGACTTAAAAAGCAGACAAAGTTTGTCTTTTCTAAACTAATATCTCCTGCTTATTTGGGAATAACGTAGAACATCTTGAATCTTAGACCCAGATCTACAAACCTCGCCTGATTCTACCTTTTTCTTTGTTTTATTCCCTTAGGATCTTATTTTCTACCAGTTAAATTCCTTTGCTCAGCACAGTTAAGATTTGCAAGGAAATAATCCAAAGTAATGAACAATAATGCAAGTTTTCTGGAAAGCAAAATTAACAACGAGAGGCAGAAAGTTCCTTTGCTAAGGTTGTACCTTTGTTATTTCTCGGCAGAATCAGTTCTGAAGAGGATGTATTTTTATTTCTGAGAACATTATTGTCCTAGTTTTCTATAATTTGAAACATCCAGTAAGAAATATCCTCAAAAACTGAGACCACATGTGGTTGTATAAACTCTTTGTTTTCAATTTCAAAATCATGAAGATTCCACTGGGAGTGGTCATTTAGCCCAGCAGTTACGTGGCCCACATCCTAAGTTAGAGTGCCTGGGATCAATCACTGGTGCTGGATCCTCACTCCAGCTTCCTACTAATGCAGATCCTGGGAGACAGCAGTGGTAACTCCAGCAATTGGGTTCCTGCCACCTACACGAGAAACCTGAACTGAGGTCCTGATTCCTGGCCTCTTTAATGGCATTTGGGGGGTGAAGTAGTGGATAGGAGTGTACTCTCTCTCTCTCTATCTCTCTCTCTCTCTCTCTGTGTGTGTATGTGTGTGTGTTTCTCTCTGACTCCCAAATAAATAACATTTCTAAAAAAGATTCTGCCAAGAGATATTCATCAGAACAGAAGAAACCTGTTCTCAAATATCACTGATAAGATTGTCTGTAAAACACATAAAAGGATGTATATTTTGAAGATGTGGCTAAAAACATCATATTGAGGTTGAAGCTGTGGCATAGTAGGCTAAGCCTCTGAGTGTAGTGCTGGCATCCCATATGGGTGCCAGTTCATAGCCTGACTGCTCCACTTCCTATCCAGCTCCCTGCTAATGCACCTGGGAAAGCAGTAGAGGATGGCCCAAGTCCTTGGGCCCCTGCACCCATGTGGGAGACCCAGAAGAAGCTCCTGACCCCTGGCTTCGGATCAGCCCAGTTCTGGCCATTACAGCCATTTGGGGAGTGAACCAGTAGATGGAAGAATTTTCTCTCTGTCTCTCCCTCTCTGTAACTCCACCTCTCAAAAAAAAATCACTTACCATTTTCACTATATACCAAGCATTGACTAATGACAAGATTTAATACAGGACATAAGTTTCCATAGTCTCCAGATTTCTTATAGTGGAACAAACATGAAAAAAGTGAAACCAGTAAGTGTTCTTTCTAATTTCATCTATCTTTTGGTCATAATTGAGTTCTCCCTTGACCTGCCTATTTTCTTTTTCTCTATAACCCTTAGTGCTTTGGTTATCGCATAACCTTGGAGTAAAATATGTTTCATGAGGGTAGGGATTTCATTACTGCTATATCTCCAAAACCTGGAAGAGTCTGAAACATAGATGTTTAATACATATTTGACAAATAAAAGGAAATAATGTTAGCACTATATTCATAGGGAGATAATTATTCTACTATAGTAAAATCACATGAAAGGAGATGAATGATTGATAGAAATGATAATATTTGTCTGTACATACATTTGTATATGTATTTACAGCAGTAGTATCCATATATACATGAAAGAGCAATGGTGAGGTATTTTTCTTCAATTTTAAACAATTATTAGTAATTTCTAAAAATAAAGCTAGTATACTGGGAAGCACAATTATATTTTCCTCCCTCTCTAGGCTTTTTAATTTATACTGCTATATAATTTAAATTTTTTTTATCATAAGTCACTTTAAATCTGTGTTGGCAGCCAATGGAATATGAATTTTACTAATCATGACAGCTTACTTAGAAAAATCTTAGTTGGGCATAGTACTAGATACTCAGAGACAAGTGTATGCTGACCTGTTTTTGCTTTAAAATTTTTATTCTCTTGAAAACTGAAAACATAAGAAAATATTGATTAAAATAGGCTTCTGAGTTGGGCATGGTGTGCAGTGGGTTTAACTACACCTTGGGATGCATACATCCCTTACTGAAAAGCCTGATTTGAGTTCAGCCTACTCCATACTTCCAGTACAGCTCCCTGTTAATGGTATGAGAAGGCAGTAGAAGATGACCCAAGTGCTTGGGGCCCTGCCACCCACGTGGGAAACCCAGATGGTGTCCCTGGCTCCTGGCTTTTCCCTGGCCCAGCCCTGCCTGTTGCAAGCATTTGAGGAGTGAACCAGCCATGAAAGATGCCTCTCTCCTGGGAAAGCAGTGGAAGATGGTCCAAGTTCTTGGGCCCCTGCACCCATGTGGGAGACCCAGACGAGGCTCCTGGCTCGTGGCTTCGGATCAGCTCAGCTCTGGCCGTTGCAGTCATTTGGAGAGAGAACCAGCAGATAGAAGACCTCTCTCTCTCTCTCTCTCTCTCTGGCTCTACCTCTCTCTGTAACTCTGTCTTTCAAATAAATAAAATAAACATTTAAAAAAAAGAAGAAGAAAAGAAAGATGCCTCTTTCTCTCTCTGCCATTCAAATAAATAAATCTTAAAAGAAAAATTGGGCTCCTTCTCTCTCCCCAGAAAGAATTAGCATATTTTCTTTCCTGACTGTTATAAAAATAAGAATATTGATAACAGAAGTATAATAAGACTCCTAGTTCTAACTGAATATTAGACATTCAATAAATCTATTTTAGGTATTAGCTAATTTATCTTTTTCTATTTCTAGAGTACATGCAAAAGCCATTGATTTCCACAATTACAAAACACACTGACAGAAAATAAACTTTCCTAGAAAATAGTTTCTGTTATTTAGCTACTGTTCTTTGAGTTCATACCTTTCCAACATTTTTCATTACTCCACTCACTCCAAATCCCATCATCTGCACAATAAATGTTCACTTTGCTTCTTGTTGAAAAGCATAACTCATGACTTCCATTTGATGTTCTCATGATGCACATTTCATTATCAAATGTGGTGGTCTGAAGGCCAAGGAAAAAATAAGATGTCATTTGATCTAAATGCAGCTATACAAATTCCATCTGTCACTTCCAAAATAAATTTTATGACATAAAGTAAGTGCATAAAAAACTAGAAAGGTGTAATCTACCAGTAATTATCTCCCTGTGCTGTTTTTTAGAAAATCTTTGTTCTTTTTCTCTTTTTTTATATATACTTGAAAATATTTCTATAGTGATAATGGATCACTTGTGAAAGAGGGCAGAATTCCTCAGTAACTTTGGTAATATCTTGATTTGGAGTAGAGTCAATTTCCCAGATTCCATAAACTGGAAAATGCTACATACACTGAATTAGCAAAAGACAGTGCCATCATGTGAATGTCATCTCTATGGAAACTGTAGAGTTCATATACATGAAGCTTTTTTTTTCATCTTATTTTGGTTAACCTGCTTTAAGACCTGTGTAACAATGCATGACATGAAACTGCTTCAGATATGAGAACAACACAATGCTGGGTGATCTCAAAGGAAAAAAAATCACTGAGGTAATTACTTCAATTTTGCATTTCAAAGAGCTGAAGAATTTTCCTCATCCAAAATAACAGCTTTAATTTTGTTTTAACTTATCTTGGGAAACAGCATAATATAGTATAGACTTAAGTGAACTGGGATTCAGATCTGGATTCTAGTTGGGAGTGGTGTCATTTGTAAGTCAATGCATAGCTCCATAAACCAATTCAAGAATCAGTTTTCTCATCTGTATATGAAGTGAATGAATTAGTACCAGTGGCCCACCTGCTGGTCTCCATACTCGGTAAATTGGAAACCAATGAATAAAATTAACATATAGCAAGGTGGAGAATTAAAGACATCCCTATTTTGTTGGTGCTAGTTTTACAACCTTTGAGTGATTCCCCAGTTATCCAGCCCCTCTTCCCTGGTACAAGCAATTCTCCTGTATCCCTGCCTTTCGACCTGATGATTACTGCTCAAGTGGTTTTGTGATTTGTTTTGTTTTTACCTGAGGCCTCTCCACTATTCATTTTAGGTCCCTGGCAACGTCAATTTATTGACACACAAAATTGCAAACAAGGAAATAGATTATCTCCACAGTCCTATGTAACCTTAAAATTGAAGTGCTTGGAGTGGGTATGTGGCCTAGAAGTTATGCTTCCTGGCTCTGGCTCCTATTTGTTTGTTTTAAAGATTTATTTTATTTATTTGAAAGGCAGAGTTACAGAGAGGCAGAGGCAGAAGAGAGAGAGAGAGAGAGAGAGAGAGAGAGAGAGGTCTTCCTTCTGCTTGTTCACTCCCCAGATGATCACAACAGCCGGAGCTGTGCCAGTCTGGAGCCAGGAGCCAGGAGCCTCCTCTAGGTCTCCTATGCTGGTGCAGGGGCCCAAGGACTTGGGCTTGGGCCAACTTCTACTGCTTTCCCAAGCCAGAGCAGAGAGCTGGACTGAAAGTGGAGCATCTGGGACTCGAACCGGCACCCACATTAGATGCCAGTACTTCAGGCGACAGTTATGCCACAGTGCCAGCCCAGCAGCTTTCTGATAATGCACAGCCTGGGAGGTAGCAGTGATGACACAAATGATTAGGTTCTGGCTGTACAGACAGGACACCTAGATTGAGTTCCTGGTTCTTTGCTTTGGCCTGGGTCCAGCCCCAGCCATTGAGGGTGTTTGGTGAATGAACCAGCAAATAGACTAGCTAACACTCTTTCACTTTCTCCCCCTCTTTCTCCCTTTCTTTCTTTCTTTCTTTCTTTCTCTCACTCTCTCTCTCTCTCTCTCTCTCTTTCTATCTCTCTCTCTCTCCCCCTTCCAAACAAATAAAAATTTGAAAATAAATAAAATGTGTAAGATTACACTTTCAGACTGCAAACATTTTTCTTTTACCAACTAGATTTTTTGGCTTCTGGAAATTAACATGCATATTTTTCATATAACTGATCTTGATGCTCAAATTTACTATTTAAAAGGCTGTGTTGAAAAAAATTAAAAAAATAAAAAAATAAAAAAGGCCGGCGCCATGGCTCACTAGGCTAATCCTCCACCTTGCGGCGCCGGCACACCGGGTTCTAGTCCTGGTCAGGGCGCCGGATTCTGTCGCGGTTGCCCCTCTTCCAGGCCAGCTCTCTGCTGTGGCCAGGGAGTGCAGTGGAGGATGGCCCAAGTACTTGGGCCCTGCACCCCATGGGAGACCAGGATAAGTACCTGGCTCCTGCCATCGGATCAGCACGGTGCGCCAGCCGCAGCACACCTGCCGCGGCGGCCATTGGAGGGTGAACCAACGGCAAAGGAAGACCTTTCTCTCTGTCTCTCTCTCTCACTGTCCACTCTGCCTGTAAAAAAAAATTTTTTTAATTTAAAAAAGGCTGTATTAGTTATTCTTAAGTGTTGAAACTTAACTGAAAAGCAATCGCTGTTAAATATAAGAGTGGGAATAAGAGAGGGAAGAGAAGTGCAATTCCGGACATGCTCAAGCTGACTTGCCCCAAATGGTAGAGTTAGAAATATACCAGGGGATTCCAATTCAATCCCATCAAGGTGGCATGTACCAATGCCATCTCACTAGTCCCAGTGATCAATTTCTATTCACAATTGATCATAATGATAGGACTAAGAGGCAAAGGGATCACATAAACAAGACTAGTGTCTGCAAATACTAACTGATAGAATAAAAAAAGGTAGAGAACTATCAAACATGGGAAGCAGGATACACAGCAGACTCATAGGGTGGCAGATGTCCTAAACAGCACTCTGGCCTCATAATCAGCCCTTAAGGCATGCGGATCTGGCTGAAAAGCCCATGAGAGTATTTCAGGCATGGAAAGCCAAGACACTCTGGCAAAAAAAAAAAAATGACCTAAATGAAAGATCTCTGTGAGTGAGGTCCCAGTGGAAAGAACAGGTCATCAAAGAAGGAGGTAGGTACCTTTCTCTGAAGGGAGGAGAGAACTTCCACTCTGACTACGACCTTGTCTAAATATGATCAGAGTTGGTGAACTCAAAAGGCTTCCATAGCCTTGGCAACTCATGACAAGAGCCTAGGGTAATTATTGATGCCATAAACAAGGGTGTCAATTTGTTAAGTCAACAACAGGAGTCACTGTGCACTTACTCCTCATGTAGGATCTCTGTCCTTAATGTGCTGTACATTGTGATTTAATGCTATAACTAGTACTCAAACAGTATTTTACACTTTGTGTTGCTATGTGGGTGCAAACTGTTGAAATCTTTACTTAATGTATACTAAACTGATCTTCTGTATATAAAGAAAATTGAAAATGAATCTTGATGTGAATGGAAGGGGAGAGGGAGCGGGAAAGGGGAGGGTTGCAGGTGGGAGGGACATTATGGGGGGGAAGCCATTGTAATCCATAAGCTGTACTTTGGAAATTTATATTCATTAAATAAAAGTTAAAAAAAAAAGGCTGTGTTTATGACTTTCTCAAATAAATGCAATATTCTTACCACCCAAGCAATATCGCCTTCAGTGAACTCAATTTCATAAATAAAGCACTTGGCTGGGATAGATCCTCTTGGTATGCTCCACTGCAGGTTAACTTCAAGTAAATTCTTCACGTTAATACTAAGATAGTCTGGTGGCAAAGGTTTCACTGGAAAGCAAAAGGAAATCATTTCAACGTGGTGATTGTGAAGTTTCAGCAACAGTTCTCATCCAAAGTTAGGGTTACATGGTAACAAGCCTCCAGGGACAAATCCGGGGTTTCAAGACCATTTCCTCTGAAAGGAATTAAAATCAGATCCGCTTGCCAACCAAAATGATTCAGAGACTTGGTTATTCTGGAAACTAAGATTCTGATAAGCCACACATTGACAAGTATTTTAGTTCGAGGGAAAGGTAAGAACATCCATATCATTACAATCATTTTAATATTTTGTAGCACTGGAAACACAAACACAACCAGTACTACTAATACTTTTACTATCACCTTATTTAATGCTTATGACACTGTACCAAAGATATTGCACCATATCTCATTTATGTCTCACGACAAACCTATGTGGTGGTCCTCTGAAACCTTCATTTTCCTGATAAGGAAATTGAAAAATATGTGAAATAATTTACACAAAGTCATACATCTAGAAAATGGCAGAGCCAAGATTCACACCCAGATCTGGCTGACTGGAGAAACTGTCACTCTTTTAACTGTTAGTACTGAGAACAGAGGCTCACAAAATATCCACTCATTTGCCTATTGAGGTCTAGGAATGACCAGACAAAAGTACTATATAGCTGATGGACTCTGTGAAGCTGAGAGATAAATTACAAGTTCTAAATGAAGATGACACTTGATCCTCCATTCACTTTCTTATCTTCCATTCTTTCATGTTTAATAAGAGCTTGCTCATACATTATATGGGCCTCATACTTTGTTCTGGTTGCATTCCCATACCTATCTATCTATCTATCATCTATCTAACTAATCATCCTTCTTTCTCTGGTGATTATAAATAATTATAAACAAAAAAACAATGAATTTGAAGTTGATATATCACCTATATTCTGAAGCTGAAAAATGAAATAGCTGGATCTAATAGACTTGGATTCTGATGATCCATTAACACAGACATAGAAATCTTTATAGTCTGGTGACTCCAATTGGGGAAACCTGCATCCGACATTTTTTCCATTAGCCTTGATATAATCAGTACACTGTAATGCATGATCCAAGCCCTCATACCTGTAAAAAGAAGCATTATGAGAATTGTATTTAACAATATCTTCAGATATCATGGTACTCCATTTTCAATTATATTAAGACAACACATGGATTTTAAAAATCACTTAATAATATGCAATATTTATTGAGCACCTACTGTATGACAGTCCCTATGATAAGTGCTAGAGATTCAACAGTAAGGAAAGCAGACATAGTCGATGATTAAGAGAAGCTGAGATTTATATAAATAAGAGTGCATGGTGCTGGCGCTGTGGCTTAGTAGGTTAAGCCACCGCCTGCAGTGCCGGCATTCCATTTGGGCACCAGTTAGAGTCCCGGCTGCTCCACTTCCGAGCCAGCTCTATGCTATGGCCTGGGAAAGCACCAGAAGATGGCCTAAGTCCTTGGGCCCTTGCCCCCACATGGGAGACCTGGAGGAAGCTCCTGGCTCCTGGCTTCGGATCAGCACAATTCCAGACATTGTGGCCAATTGGGGAGTGAACCAACGGATGGAAGACCTCTCTTTCTCTCTCTTTCTCTCTCTCTCTCTTTGCTTCTCCTTCTCTCTTTGTGTAACTCTGACTTTCAAATAATTAAATAAAAATCTTAAAAAAATAGTGCATTATACCATCTTTAATATTTTACTGGGGAAGTTATTTTAGAAGAACTCTGACTTTCAGATAAATAAACCTTTAAAACAAAATCTCAGAGAAGACAAAACACATCCCTATGATAAAAATGTAGATACCGTCTGGACAATAAAGAGTTATAAACAGTCACAGTTCAGAGAAGAATTGAACAGAAGCTGACGTGATCAGGAAAGTGTTAATGAAACTGGATACCAGATGGGCCCTGAAGAACGTATAAAAGTTCATGAAAGAAATAGACTGTCAGGGGGCATTCCAGATGGCAATGCACACAAAAGGCATTAAAAGTCATAACACGGGTGAGAAAAAAATGTAGAGATGGATCTAAAAAGAGTAGAACCTTCGCACTGGTCATGATAGATGACAGTGCTGGAAAGGCAGTGATAGAGTGAAGCACAGACTTGAATGGCAGCTAGATTTTGTCTTGGGAGCAATGAGTTGCCACTGAAGGTTCTGAACAAGGGAGTTGCATATGAAAATGGCAAAGTAGGAGGATAAAGATGGCTTCGACGTGAAGAATAAATAGGAGCGGGGGGAGACTAAAGCAGAATGACCATCATTTGGTAGGCCACAATAATTACCCAGGTGCAGAATGAAGGGAGCCTACAATGGAATTCTTACAGTACAAAACAGAGATGCAGCCTTGCAAAAAGAGTCAAACACGTTGACCACACTACTGTGAAATAAGTATGGAATGAAGCAAATAGAAGAGCCACGATGGCTTTAAGTATAAAAGCCTCAAGGACAGTTAACAAAGGTAAGAAGTCAGAAAACAAGATCCATTTTAATAATTTCTTTCCTCAAAAGGCAAGAATGTAAAATACGCTACAGTTTCTGTGTGTGTGTGTCTCTCTGCCTTTCAAATAAACAAAAAAAATACATTTAAATATGTCAAAAAAAATTTTAGGTTATAATTTCCTCAATCTAAAGGATCCAAAACTTAATCCAGTACAAGATATATAAAATATATATATGTATAAAATATATATATATATAAAATATATATATAAGGATTCCTTATTTTACTCATTGAATACTTCCCACTGTATATAGCTTAAAACCACTTATTCCCATTGAAAATTCCAAATAATTGTAAAGAGCCAACATAAGTATAACTGGTAAATGCAATGAATGTAATTTAGGAAAATATAGTTAATCATACTGTGGATTAATGCTGGTAGATGTTTTCCTAATATTTAATTCCAATTATGCAATTACTTACCAATAAAACAAGTAGTAATTGGCATCAAAGTGTACACCCTTGCCAGGTTCCCAAGAACAGAGCAAATTTTGCCAGTTGTAATATATGCAATCCATATCTTTAATTTTGGTTTCCAAATTTCCTAAGAAATGAATGAAATATGAATCCTTGAAAGGTGTGATGATGAATAATTCGTGAAATTGCTATGCAATTTTACTTCATTTCCTTTGACTTCTCTACTTCATTTAGCATTCAACATCATAAAGAATATTTCAAAAGAGAGTTATTGGAAATCACTTCACTCTTAAGTGGGATATGCCAAAGCAAAAACATTTGGAGGATTCATGATGCCAGTATAAGCATAAAACACGGATTAAAAGGATTATTCTAGGATGTTATGAGCAGTTGAGCAAATACCAATGCATGTTTACTAAGATGACCCCAAACTTGGGAATTATATTAATATAAGAAATGTGGGTTTTGCAAAACACATTTGCTAATTTAGAGAATTCAAAAAGGCCAATCACCCACTACTATTTTGTGTCACATTGTCAGAGAATCTATTGTACACATGAGTACACTATAGTGCATAAGAGTTAAGAGACTTATTCCTTACATACAGTATTCCGATAGTATTAAATTTAAAGAGATCTATGATTTAACCTTGTTCTGGCATCCAGTAAGTAGCTTCTGACCACAAACTTCGAACTTCTGATCCATTCGTGCATTGCTTTGGCAAAAGCGTGTGGATTTTGGCTTCAATGCCCTTGTTTAGATCAAATCCATATTTGTAACGTAGATTCTTAGTAATGACAGTCTGATAAAATGATGACACAAAGTCAAGCTTGGAAACAGGTATGGTATGATAAGCCATATTAATAAGACTAAGAAATCATTAATATTCTGGAGAGTTCATAATATCTAAGACACTCCTGAGGATGATTATCTGATACAATGCCCCGAATACATTTCTGGCAGAGCTTACCTATATATCACATCATTCCATACAATCGTTTGAATAACATCTCACTCAAAACAAAACCAAAAATGAACTACTAGAAGGGAAGAAGGTTCTAGAGCAGAAACTTGACCTTTAACCAACTTGGAATTAAATAGATAATTCTCACTAACCATATGCACATTTCATGGCAAATAATTTGTTACCTTTTAAATATAATGAGAAACCTTGAGAAATCACATAAAGTGATATTCTGGAGGTAACCAGAGAAAGTCAGACAAATTACGAGCTCCTAGAGAATGAAAAACATAAATTCACTGCACCACAGCACCAACCCCTATGTTATTTATGCTTATGTACCTCCTACCCCACAGAGTGTGGAGCACAAAATGCGCCTCATTCAAATTGTCCCTGGAAACCACAAAGCTCAATTAAGGAGATAAAAGAATGACTTCTACGACCGAAATCCTTGAATGAGCACGTTTGTTGAAAATCTGAATTGCTAATGATTCGGTAAACTTTCATTAAACACTTAGTATAATACACATATGCAAAGAACAATGCCGTGTCTTTTGTGGAAGTGTATAGATAAATAAGGTTTGATTCCTACAGAGACACACCTCACAGTCCAATAGCATTCATAAGACTCATGTCTAACTATATAAGTAACCGTAAAGCATGCTAAAATGCATAAGTGCTCTCTTTCAAGTCCATATTCCATGGGACCAAGTATCTTTTCTGTGCACTTCCAATAGTAGACCTTACAATGGATGGGATGAAAATATATGTGACAGGATGCTTAGAAAATAGAAGCAGGCATGAAAGCTTGCTACAAACTAATTAGAACCACTGAGATTTGGGAATTGGAGTGGGGCATTGAAGTGAGGACTCAAAAGAAAACACCTAATGATCACTCTGATGGTACAAGTATATGCTTTACTTACCTTCCATCTTCCACCACCAATGCTTCGAAACTTTAGTTCATATTCTACTGCACATGCCTTGAAATTTTCCAGAGATACTGGAGGTTGCCATTGTAAATACAGGAAACCTAAATATCCAGGATCAACTATCTCAAAATCCTCAGGGGGATTAACTGAAATAAAATCACCAATATATTTTGATTTTTCCCCATGGAAAAGATTGTTAAATACAGATATATAGATTTTTTTCTAAATGCTGATCAACCGAGGAATACATTTAAAAATGTGCTACATCTATGATATGGGATATTAGTAAGTCATAAAAGGGAAAGAAGTACTGACCCATTCTACAACATGGAAAACACTGTGCTAAATGAATGAAGCCAGTCACAAAAGATAAAAAAATTATATGGCTCCATGAATATGAAATAGCTACAATGGTAAACCCTTAGATAGAAACTAGATTTGTGGTTGCCAAAGGCCAAAGGGAAGTGGGAAGTGGAATGGAGTATGACTGCTAATGGACAGAGGGTTTCTTTCGGAAGTGATGAAATTATTCCGGAATTTGATAAAGCTTTTTTTAGAAATCCAGATTACTGCTATCCAAAGGGATCTTCAAAAGTTCATGGAAAATTCTCATTTTAATTACATTTTCCCATGCATTTTTTTTAAAAAAATTTATTTATTTATTTACTTATTTATTTGAAAGGCAGAGTTACACAGAGAGAGAAGGAGAAGCAGAGAGAGAGAGGTCTTCCATCTGCTGGTTCACTCCCCAATTGGCCACAATGGCCAGAGCTGCGCCAATTTAGCCAGGAGCCAGGAGCTTCTTCCGGGTCTCCCATGCACATGCAGGGGCCCAAGGACTTGGACCATCTTCTACTGTTTTCCCAGGCCATAGCAGAGAGCTGGATTGGAAGTGGAGCAGCTGGGACTTGAACCAGTAGAAAGCAGTAGAAGATGGCTCAAGTGCTTGGGCCCCTGCACCCACGTGGGAGACCCAGAAGAAGCTCTTGGCTCCTGGCCTCAGATTGCATCAAAATAAACATCTTTTCATCCATTTTCTACAAACTTTTGAAGTATTCTTGTGTGTGTGCAAATAAATATATATCTATGCTTTAGATATTTATATATAATTTATACAAATATTTGTATAATATATAATATTTTATAATAAATATGTTTATGTGTATGTATTCTGCATCTATTCACATATATTACACATCTATACACATCAGTTCACACACACATCCTATACAAGGAGTCTACAAAGTTTGTAGCTCCAGACATTGTAACCATTTGGGGAATGAACCAGTGGATAGAAGATTTCTGTCTCTCCCTCTCTCTGTAATTCTGCCTTCCAAATAAATAAATAAGTCTTTAAAAAAAAATGCACACTTCTCACAAACTTTGTAGACTCCTTGTATAGGATGTGTGTGTGAATTGATGTGTATAGATGTGTGAGTGTAATATATGTGAATAGATGCAGAATACATACACATAAACATATTTATTATAAAATATTATATATTATACAAATATTTGTATAAATTATATATAAATATCTAAAGCATAGATATATATTTATTTGCACACACACAAGAATACTTCAAAAGTTTGTAGAAAATGGATGAAAAGATGTTTATTTTGATGCAAGAAAATTTTGAAATTCATGCATAGCCATTTTCATAATAAGAATTTTCCACAAACTTTTGAAGACTGCTTGTGTGTTTGGCTGTGAGTGTGTGTATGTATGTGTGTGCATCCTAGTACATAAATATACACATTTAATAATTCTATAAAATTTCCTACTAATAAATCAAATAGTACTATAACATTCCCCTCTTATTCTCTTACTAGCAATTTCCACTCATTTCTGCCAAATCATTTACTTTAATAGTTCACTTCATAATTTACTGAGGTGAGACAAATATGGCACAGATTATTTTCTGAGCCAGGACTCCATCTCCTCTAAAGAAGGTCTCTGCTGAGGATGAAATGAAAATCCTGTTATTTCAGTCCTAAAGATTAGAAATTGCTGTCAAATGCACTATTGTAATCACCTTTTTTGATAAGAAAAGTTCATTAGACATGATTTAATAATTCTATAGTTATTTGTTAATTTTATTTTAAATTTTGTAATTTTTTCTTATTAATCTAGCTATCATAAAAGGTAAGGATAATTATTAAGAAAAGTTTCCAATTAGTTAAGTACCAGGCAATGACCTTTTTTTTTTTTTTTGACAGAGTTAGACAGTGAGAGAGATAGACAGAGAGAAAAGTCTTCCTTCCATTGGTTCACCCCCCAAATGGCTGCTATGGCCAGTGCGCTGCGCCGATCCGAAGCCAGGAGCCAGGTGCCTCCTCCTGGTCTCCCATGCGGGTGCAGGACCCAAGGACCTGGGCCATCCTCCACTGCCTTCCTGGGAAAGCAGACAGCTGGACTGGAAGAGGAGCAACCGGGACAGAATCCGGCACCTCAACAGGGACTAGAACCCGGGGTGCTGGTGCTGCAGGCGGAAGATTAGCCTAGTGAGCCACGGTGCCGGCCAAGCAATAAGCTTTTAGGTATTTAACCTATGTGGATCCTTTAAAGAGTTCATCGAAAATGCTTATTATGAAAAATTATGCATAGGTTTTGAATTTTTGTCTGACAGTATACTTAACTTTTCATTCCATTTTCAATAAACTTTTTGAAGTATCCTTATATCTTTTGTGCATGAGTTTCTGGAATATCTCTAATAACAATCCATCTACTAGTTATGCACTTCCATAGGGCAGGTTGAAAGGACAGTTATTATCCCTAATTTTAAAACTCTTCTAGGGGCTGGCGCTGTGGCACAGCAGGTTAACGCCCTGGCCTGAAGCGACGGCATCCCATATGCGTGCCGGTTTGAGTCCCAGCTGCTCCTCTTCCAGTCCAGCTCTCTGCTATGGCCTGGGAAAGCAGTAGAAGATGGCCCAAGTCCATGGGCCCCTGCACCCACATGGGAGAGCTGGAAGGGCCCCTGCACCCTCATGGGAGACCTTGAAGAAGCTCCTGGCTCCTGGCTTCAGATCTGAGCAGCTCCGGCCGTTGTGGCCAATTGGAGAGTGAACCATCGGATGGAAGACCTCTCTCTCTCTCTCTCTCTCTCTGCCTCTCCTCTCTCTGTGTAACTCTGACTTTCAAATAAATAAATAAATCTTTATAAAAAACTTCTAATATTAAGTTTATTTAGATTTTTTTAAAGATACATTTCAATAGAGTTTTGTTTTGTTTTCTGTTCATTTTTAATTACTACAAGCTTTGCATGCTCTAAGGCTCAAGGCCTTAGAGAAAACACAACTTTCAATTATGTAGGCTTTTTATAAAGCTTGAGTTACATAAGGTTTAAATAAAAGTTTATTTCTACAATAGCTGAACAACAACAACAACAACAAATCTATGCCACTGGAGCATGTCTTTGATATAGTAATTAGGATGTTGCTTGGGACACCCACAATTCCATATTAGAATGTTTGGGTTCAAGTCTCAGCTACATTCTGGATCCCAGCTTCCTGATAATGCACACCCTGGGGGGCAGCTGATGATGGTCCAAGTGTTCAGGTTCCTGCCACCCACAAGGGCAACACAAATAGAGTTCCCAACTTGTGGCTTCAGCCTGGCCCAGCCCTGGCCACTGCAGGCATTTGGAATGTGAACCAGCAGATGAGAGATTTCTCTCTCTCGCCCACTCCCTCCCTCTCTCCCCAACTCCCTCCCTCTTTGCCTTTCAAATAAGTAACAGTATAAAAAATTATTAAGGGACATCATTAAAATCCATATAAGGTGTAGGTTTACCTTTTATCTCAAGATCTGAAGACGAAGTATAGCCAAATGCTATGCAAATGAGAAAGATAGCCAGGCATCTGTTATACAAACAAATGAAAGCCATTTCTCCAAGGTTTACTATCTTGATATCTCCTAAGAAAGAAACATATAACATTGTAATTTTGTCTTACTTCAAGCAATCAAATGGCTAAATGCTATTAAAATACTTTGAGCAACTCAGCACCTCTACCAAGCAATAGGAAAACTGTATTCCCTTGAACCATGAAAATAGAAATAATCAAGTTTGGAACAAATACAATTAGAAAGGGAGGGTTCTAGTTCCATCATTCTAATGAGAGATAAAATAAGGCAAAAGAAAAAAGCCCTGTAACTCTTCACCTGCACACATATACTTTTCTACATGCTACGAGCAGGACACAGTACTTAAAAATAGCCTTCAACCTGTCAGTGGAGTCAGATCCACCAGAGTGTCCTTGTTGGTGCATAAAGGGAATTATGACATCATTAGTCTCCATAGCAATGCTCTCTCCTAGCAACAAAGACAACACACTGACACATTATACTCTTCTAAAGGGAAAAAAGGTATTTGAAAGTTATCTGACCACTGAGAAAGTTCAAAGCCTACATCAGAAAGCTCAGATAACTCAGAATTTTACTTTATTTCTCCAGAAATATAAAATAATCATCATCTATTCTTATATCTGTCCACTTCTGTCCCTACTTCCTGTATTAGGAAATGACATCATCACCCTCCCAGTGGCCCAAATGAGAAACTTGCGAATATTTACATCATTCCTTTTGCATACAATCTCTCCATTTTCACTACCACTTCCTGAATTTAAGATCTCAACCTCAAGGATCTCCTTATCTAGTCTTTGCTGCCTGCAAACTATCTTCCATATCACCTACAGTGAGAATAACCTTTCTAAAAGGCAAACCTGGGACAGTGCTGTGGCATAGTGGGTGAGGCCACCGCCTGCAGTGCCGGCATCCATATGGGTGCCGGTTCGAGTCCCAGCTGCTCCCCACTTCTGACCCAGCTCTCTGCTATGGCCTGGGAAAGTAGTGGAGGATGGCCCAAGTGCTTGGGCCCTTGCACCCTAGTGGGAGACCTTGAGGAAGCTCCTGGCTCCTGGCTTCGGATGAGCTCAGCTCCGGACATTGCAGCCAATTGGGGAGTGAACCAGCAGATGGAAGACCTCTCTCTCTCTCTCTCTGCCTCTCTCTGCCTCTCCTCTCTCTGTGTAACTCTGACTTTCAAATGGATAAATGAATCTTTAAAAAAATAAAAAATAAGCCGGCGCCGTGGCTCAATAGGCTAATCCTCCACCTTGCGGCACCGGCACACCGGGTTCTAGTCCCGGTTGGGGCGCCGGATTCTGTCCCGGTTGCCCCTCTTCCAGGCCAGCTCTCTGCTATGGCCAGGGAGTGCAGTGGAGGATGGCCCAGGTGCTTGGGCCCTGCACCCCATGGGAGACCAGGAAAAGCACCTGGCTCCTGGCTCCTGCCAGGATCAGCGCGGTGCGCCGGCTGCAGCGGCGGCCATTGGAGGGTGAACCAACGGCAAAAGGAAGACCTTTCTCTCTCTGTCTCTCTCTCTCACTGTCCACTCTGCCTGTCAAAAAAAAAAATAATAAAATAAAATAAAAAATAAAATAAAAAATAAAGAGCAAATCTGAATTTTTCACCTCTTAAAACTATAACACCATTTCACTGCCAAAGAATACAATTTATCCATCTTTTTACTCCTGAAGAATATTGGCTTTATGATTACAATTTAAAGGAGTCAGGCCTACACAACATACTAGATCAAAACAACTATTGGTAAAGCAAAAACACCACATAATATACTCTGAGTCTATATTCCTTGAACCAGTAACTTCACAAAAGTTTAAGGATTAAAGATCAATTATCACAACATTCAAGGACTACCTTTATCTATCCTTTATGGACTAATTCAGCAGGACCTCCCTCTCTCCCCACCCTACCCTCTTCATCCTACCTGGTCCATCTGCAAAGTTCTAATGTTGTAAGCATCAGTTATTACATCATAGAATCTTGAGGTCAAATTTTTGAAATCATCAGGTATACTAAAGGCAATGTTGGTCACACTCTCCTTTAATATACTGGAAGGTCAAACTCAGATTTGCCCAAGATTATTACATAGCAAGTTGTTGAAAGAGTTGGAAATAGGGCAGAAATATTTTGATTCCCAGTCCTGTGTATTTCACCCTGCTATGCTTGATTTAGCATTATGAAAGCTATTCCTCCAGGACCCCACTGTTTAAGTTTTCCTTCGGTTAATTAACCAGTCTAAGTCAACATCATGTTATATTTCAGAAGTCTACGCATCATAATACCCTATGCCATTTCTCTTACTGAGATCCAGCAAATTTCTCTTCTCAATTCCTCCTTCCCCATCCAGCAGACCATGGCTGCTCATTAATGCATCTGTAAATGCTAGGTAGATTGGGTTACCACAGATTACAAATCCTCCACAGAGCTACTCTAATAGATTAAAATGATCTCACTGCTTACTGTTGGGCCCAAAGAAATAGATCTGACAAAGATGCAGTCTCACATGTTCCCTATAATGACTAAAAACCTCTGGGGCTGGCATGGTGGCATAGCTGGTTAAGCCACTGCCTGCCACACCAGTATCCCATATGAGTACTGGTTGAAGTCCCAGTTGCTCCACTTCTGATCCAGCTCCCTGCTAATGCATCTGGGAAAGCAGCAGAAGATGGCCCAAGTACTTGGGTCCCTGCCACCAACGTGGGAGACACAGATGGAGTTGCAGGCTCCAGACTTTGGCCTGGCCCAGCCCTAGCCATTTGTGGCCATTTGTGGAGTGAACCAATGGATGAAAGATCAAAGATTTCTCTCTCTCTCTCTCTCTCTCTCTCTCTCTCTCTCTCTCCCCCTGCAATCCAAATAATTCTTCAAGGAAAAAATTCATTCTATTTCATTTCTACAGTATTAAAACCTAACTCAGACTATTCTGAATCAGCCCAACACATTTAAGGAAAGGTAGGAAATAGGTTTCCAGAGTCATTTGATGGATTAACTCACATAAGGAGTTCCTAAATTACATGTAAGCATCCAACCTAGACTTTCCCCAACGAACATAAAAACAGTTCTATTCTGGGTTGCAGGATTTTTAGTAATACAATGAGTTTTTTTTTTTAAAAAAAAAGGTTTATTCACTTATTTGAAAAACAGAGTGATGAAAGAGAGAGAGAGAGAGAGAGAGAGAGAGAGAGAGAGGGAGGGAGGGAGAGGGAGAGGAAGAGAGAGAGAGAGAGAGAGAGGGAGAGGAAGAGAGAGAGAGAGAGAGAGAGAGAGAGAGAGAGAAAGTGCTTCCATTTGCTGGTTTACTTCCCAAGTGCCCACAATAACCAGGACTGGGCTAGGCCAAAGATAAGAGCCTGGAACGCCATCCCAGTCTTCCATGGGAGTTAGAGGGACTATAATACTTGAGTGATCACCTGCTGCTTCCCATGGTGTGCATTAGTAGGTGGCTGGATAGGAAGTGGTGTGGCTGCATACTTGAATCGCCACTCTGGTATGGGATGTGGGAGTCCCAAGTAGGGGCTTAACCTGCTGCACTCCTACATCTACTCCAAATTAGGGGCTTTATATACTGTATAGTTACAAAGGAGACCTGAGTTTTTCACAAGTGGGAGGAACCTGAGGACAAAAGGAAGGTGAGAGGGAGGAAACACAGACAATATTTTTTTTTAAGTTTCCAATATACTCCACACCCCCAGGCCACAGTGGACAACCACTCATCTGGTCTTTTTTTAAATATTTATGTATTTATATGAAAGGCAGAGTTATAGAGAGAGAGGGAGAGGTAGAGATAGAGAGAGGGGAAGAGAGAGAGAGAGAGAGAGAGAGAGAGAGAGATCTTCTATCTGCTGGTTCTTTCCCCAAATGGCCACAACAACATGGGCTGGGCCAAGCTAAAGCCAGGAGCCAGGAGCTCAACCCAGGACTCTTACCAGAGTGCAGGTACCCAAGCACTTGGGCCATCTTCTGCTGCTTTTCCCAGGTGCATTATCAGGGAGCTGGATAGGAAGTGGAGCAGCCAGGAATTGAACTGTCACCCTTATAGGATGCAGGCATTGCAGGCAGCAGCTTAACCTATTATGCCACAAGACCGGCCCCCATTCATCTGGTCTTAAGTCTGTATTATGAGAAAATAATAGCAAGTTGTCCAAGCTCACACAACTCATTGGTGGCAAAGCTAGGACTAGAAACCTGGTTTCTTAAACTCTTTCAACTACTTAACAAATACATTTTCTTGCCATAAGAAGTCTGTCTTGTACCTGTTTTACCAATAATCCTCCAGCCCCCAACCTTCCCCAACTTACTATCACTATCCATATCATCAACCCACCACACAATTTATCACCATATTTCTGACATAGCAATAATTTAATAAACAATCATTGAGCATTTCCTTTTGTCATATAGTATCCCAGCTAAATTATTTTTTTTAGATTTTTTTATGTATCTGTTTTTTTAATATTTATTTATTTATTTATTTGAAAGTCAGAGTTACAGAGAGGCAGAGGCAGAGAGAGAGAGGTCTTCCACCCACTGGTTCACTCCCCAGATGGCCGCAATAGCTAGAGCCAGGCTGATCTGAAGCCAGGAGCCAGGAGCTTCTTCTGGGTCTCCCACATGGGTGCAAGGGCCCACACACTTGGGTCATCCTCCACTGCTTTCCCAGGCCATAGCAGGGAGCTGGATTGGAAGTGGAGCAGCAGGGATTTGAACTGGCACCCATATAGGATGCCGGTAGGCAGGTGGTGGCTTTACCAGTTACGCAACAGCACTGGTCCCTTATGTATCTATTTGAAAATCAGATTAACAAGGAGAGAGGGAGAGACAGAGAGCAAGAGAGAAAGAGATTTTTCCATCTGCTGGTTCACTTCCCAGATGGCTGCAATGGCCAGGGCTGGGCCAGGCTGAAGCCAGGAGCCAGCAGCTTCTTCTGGGTCTCCCACGTGGGTAAAGGGGCCCAAGCACTTGGGCCATCTTTTGCTGCTTTTCTCAGGCCACTAGCAGGGAGCTGGATCAGAAGCAGAGCAGTCAGGACTCAAACTGCCATCCATATAGTATGC